TAAAAAAAAAAAAAAAAAAAAAAAAAAAAAAAAAAAAAAAACTTCTTGCTAATGGAAGTTCAGTTAATATTAGCAATAGAAACCAAATTAAATATCTGAGCATAGCTGACTAAGGATGCATAAAGATACGTTTTCAGAGCTGGAACAGAAGTGAGAAGTAATCTACTTTTAAGCCCCTTTTTTTGCATAGGTCTAGTGGGCTGGTGGTAGAGTTGGGACCGGAACCCAGTTTTGAGCTCTACCTTGTTCAGCCAAGATGACATCCTGGCGTTCCAGAAACAGGACCATGGATCAGCAATCTACAGGTGTCTTCCTTATGGCTTTGCAGAGCTCTCTTGGTGAAAGGAATGGGGACTCAGGAAGAACCCGATAAAATAGAAGTACTTGGGGTGGTCAGCACTGCTACAGGAGTCTTTTGAAAAGTGACTCTGTTTACCTTCCACTGCCCTCAGAGAAAAAGTAATCATTATGAAATAGTTCTGGTGTGCAGAAAGTTATATACTATACAGTACCCACTACTGGGCTTGAAGATAGTGTAACATTTCCAGTGGAATGAAGGCCTTCTGTAGACCCTCTTCCCCTAACACCTACCCTTAGTTCCCCAAGTCAGCACTCCCCTAAAACCTGCCTCCTTTTTTCCCTCTGAAGATTAAGCTTTATAAGAAGGAAGTGTGAGGGGCTACTTTGTCTTTATCTTTATTTGGACACCGAGCCTTTGGACTTGGATCAGAATGACAGCTTGTTTGGCATTAAAATTGGAAGCCCTCCTGTATTTGTTTCCTGTCACAACTGTACCAAATGCCTGCATATCTGATGTTTTAAAGTGACACAAATATATTATCTTACAGTTCTGTTGGTCAGAGGTCCACACATGTCTCTCTGAGAGATGGGCATGGTGTCAGCAGTTCCACGTCGCTCCTGGAGGCTCTGGGGAGGATCTGTCCCCTTGCCTTTTCTAGCTCCACACTCCTTAGCTTATGGCCCCTTCCTCCATCTCCAAAGTTAGCAGCATCACATCTCTCTGACTCTGCTTCTGTCCTCTCTCTCCAACCACAGCCAGGAAAGGCTGCCTTTTGAGGCCTCATGTGATTACATTGGGCCTACCTGGATAATCCAGGATGATCTCTCCATTTTAAGGTCCTTATTCTCGGTCACGTCTGCAGAGTCCCTTTTGCCATGCAAGGTTACGTATCCGCAAGTTCCAGAGATTAACACATGGGCATTTTTGTCAGGCGTTATTCTGCTGACCACACCTTCCATCGACTTTCCAGCAGTGGCAGTGGGCTGGGGTGGCACCTGCTGAGGGTGTGATTCAAGCAGGGGCATCTGGATAACCGGATTGGCACTTTCCCTTGGGCCTCTTACTTGGGTCAGCTAGACCTAGCATCAGATCCTGTCCCATCCTGTCTCAGCTGCCAGCCAAGAGCAACTCACCCTGGCCTTACTGAGTCTCGGATTCCTCATCCCCCATGTGGCCTTGGCACTTCCTACCCCAGTGAGCTGCTCTGAGCAGTAAGCACGGTGGCCCTTCCATTTGGCGCATCTGGCACATGTGGGCTCTGCATACTTTTTCTTTTTTTTTTTTTTCCTTTTTTTGTCTTTTTTCGTGACCGGCAACAAATCGCAACCCTCAGTGTCGCGCCCGTACCGGACCGGGACCGGCAACGGGATCGCAACCCTCAGTGTTGCGCCCGCACCTCGCTCAGCCAGTGAGCGGCTGGTCTGTATGTGGGATCCGAACCCTCGGCAGGAGTGCCGCCGCGCTCCCCAAGCAGCGCACTGTAGCAGTGCGCTACCGGGCCGGCCCAATGCATACTTTTTCATGCCTTCCCCACCCCCATTGTAGCCTCCTTCCTGTGGCAATGGGGGGTGGGGGCTCGGTGGTCTCCAATTCCTCCCCCACCCCTCTCTTTCCCCACCTTTTCTCTCCTTTTCCTCTCCTATTTCCTTCTTTTCCTGGAGACCCCAGGCCAGATTCATCTGCAGGTGTGTTTTATTTTCTTCATGGGCTCTTAAAACATACAAATTAATTGCTTACATTTATTTTATTTCTATCAATTTTTTTTTTTTTGCAGTACGGAAATCCAAACCCTTCACCTCACTGTTATAACACCAGGCTCTAACCAAGCGAACTAACCAGCCAGCCCTTAATTGCTTACGTTTAAAAGTTGGGAGATCTCAGGGACAAGTCCAGATCTCTGGTTTTTCTTGAGAAACCTGAAGCTCTGGCCACCTGGTGCCCACATTCCTCGGAGTGACATCCTGCACAGTGTCATGGCGGTGGCAGCCCCTTCAGACGTGGGGGGCACCTGCTTGCCCCAAGCCCCGCCCCCTTCATTTGCTTGCACCACCAGTCTGGCCTGTCTTGGCATTTGTGACTCACATGCCTTTGGGCTTAGGTGGAGTCAGCCTGGTTGAGGCTGTGAGAAGGTTCTGGCATGAGACCCAGACAGTGCCTCCTGGAAGTGAAGAGTTTTGTGGTGCAGATCTTTGCACCAGGCAGACCCAGATGCCACCAGGACTAGCCTTTGTCACTTCCCAGCACTGTCACTTTGGGCAATCGCATTGACTTCTCTGAGTCTCAGTTTCCTCATCTGCATAGACCAGTGTTCTCAAACTCAGTGCCATTGCATTTGAGGCTGGGTACTTGTGGTGGGGGCCGCCCTGTGCACTGCAGGATGTTTAGCAGCATCCCTGGCCTTTACCCCCTTGATACCTGTAGTTCCTCCTTCCCAGTTGTGACGAGCAAAAATGTCCCAACATTGCCATGTGCCCCCTGAGGGCAGAATCGACCAGCTGGTGACCAGTGTAGATACTCATGCAGTGGAGCATGTGCGAAGCTGACAGGAGAGGCTGGAGGTGAATCACTGAACTGGCGTCCTGTTCCTTCGGTCCCTGTGTGTTCTGTTGTTTGGCTTGTGCAGATTCTTCCAGAAACAATCTGTGGTTGTGCCAATCCCTCAACACTGTGCACTCTCTCTGCCATGTCACTTGCATGTGGCCTGCTTTGGAACCTGGAGAAGGAGAAGTATGCCTTATGGAGGGGCAGCTCTGAGTGTGGGAGCCCCGCAGGCCCAGAGGAACAGACACTGTCACCGCCGGCACAGCCTCGGGAAAAGCCCTTGCCTTCCTCAGGGAAAGTGACTGTTGTGTTCACCTGCCTCTGCTCCCCCTTCTGCCTTTGTGTTCACGTGCATACCCTGTGAACCGGGACCCTCGGCTGCATGTCTGACCTTCGACTCTGTGTTACATTTAGGTGGCCCTGGTCCAGTGGACTGAAAGTGTGGGTTTAACCCTGGTGGGCCGAGACCAGTCTTCTGTGCAGCTGAGGACCCCTGGCGACCAGATCCTGAACTTCACCATCTTGCAGATCTTCCCTTTTACCTATGAGAGCAAGCGCATGGGCATCATCGTGAGGGTGAGTTGTTTTCATTCATGACTTAAAAGGGCTAAAAACCCCAAGTACGCTGCACGGCATATGTCCTGTGGCCTGACGTTCTTTCATACCCCTTTCTCACCCTGTTGATTGTGGCATCTGCCACCCAGACTAACAAGGGAATATAATCCCTTAAACAGAAAGGACGTTAGTTCATCAGTTGGACTAGATCGATGATCAGATTATGGTCATCAGTTGCTGACTAGATTGTGGATCAGCTTAAGGTGATTCCAGTTCTAGAGTGAAAATTCTGCTGAATATAAATTGGGCATTTCCTGGTAATACATTTCTCATTCTCTTTTCTTTAATTAAACATTTATTTTTATTGAGGCAAAATTCACATAACATAAAACAATCATTTTAAAGCAAACAATTTGGGGGCATTTAGTACATTCACAATTGTGTGACTACCACTTCTGCCAGGTTTCAAAACATTTTCACGACTCCAAAAGAAAACCGTTAAGCAGCCACTCCGCATTCTCCCCTATTCCTCAGTGCTGTCAACCACCAGTCTGCATTCTGTCTCTGTGGATTTGTCTATTCTGGACATTTCATATAAGTGGAATCATACATTATATGGTCTTCTGCGTGTGGCTCCTTTCACTTACCATAACGTTTTCAAGGTTCATCCATGTTGTAACATGGATCAGTATTTCATTCCTTTTTATGGCTGGCTAGTATTTCATTATATGTATAGACCAAATTTTGTTTGTTCATTCATCCATTCATGGACATTTGGGTTGTTTCTACCTGTTGACTATTGTGACTAGAGCATTCACGTATAAATATTTGAGTAGCTATTTTCAATTTTGGGGGGTATATACCTAGGAGTGGAATTGCTGAGTTACGCTGGGTCAGTTTCCCAGTTGCTGGATAGTTCTATCTTCAGCTTTATGAGGAACCTCCAAACTGTTTTCTTCAAGCTGCACCATTTTACATTCCCACCAGCAATGTATGAGGGTTCCAGTTTCTCCACATCCTCACCAACACTTGTTGTTTTCAATTTTTTGATTATCACTGTCCTAGTGGTTATGAAGTAGCATTTCATTGTGTTTTTATTTGCATTTTCCTAATGGCTAATGATATTGAGTGCCTTTTCATACACTATGGCCATTTGTATATCTTGCATGGAGAAATGTCTATTCAAATCCCATTTTAATTTGCCCAATTTTAATTGGGTAGTTTACCCATTTTTAATTGGGTTGTCTTTTTGTTATTAAGTTGTAAGGGTTCTTTATATGTTCTGGATACTGGACCCATATCAGACGTATGATTTGCAGATGTTTTCTCTCATGCTATAGTTTGTCTTTCACTTTCATGATAATGACCTTTGATATATAGAGATTATAATTTTGATGAGGTCTAATTGATCTATTTTCATTGTTGTTGCTCTTGACTTTGGTGTCATATCTAGGAATCCATTGCTAACTCCAAAGTGATGAAGACTTACCCCTATATGTTCTCGTAAGAGTTTTGTAGTTTCAGCTCATGATCACTTTGAGTTAATTTTTACATATGGTGTGAGGTAGGGGGTTCACTTTATTCTTCTGCATGTGGGTAAGCAGTTGTCTTAGCACCATTTGTTAAAGAGACTATTATTTCCCCTTTGACTGGTTTAGTTACACTTGTAATTAAATATTCTCAGTGGTTTTTTTTTCCTTTTTGTCTTTTTTCGTGACTGGCAACGGATCGCAACCCTCAGTGTCGCGCCCGTACCAGACCGGGACCGGCAACGGGATCGCAACCCTCTGTGTTGCTCCCGCACCTTGCTCAGCCAGTGAGCGGCCGGTCTGTATGTGGGATCCGAACCCTCGGCGGGAGCGCAGCCGCGCTCCCAAGCGGCGCACTGTAGCAGTGCGCCACCGGGCCGGCCCCTCAGTGGTTTTTTAATTCATACAATTACTAAGTTAGCAAAAAAAATAGCAACCACTCAGCAGCATCATTTTGCCATGTTCATTTCAGATTTTCTCATTATATTTTTTGAAACTTTTATTGGCATACAATATCACAGAGAAAGGTCTAAATATCATAAGTGTATAGCTTAACCCTTTTTCACAAAGTTAACACACCTGTGAAACCAGCATCCGTCTGGTGGGAGGAGCAGAACCTGACCCCTTCACCTCTTCTGCTCCTGTGCTACTTTCCATTTGCTACAGTTCTCCCCACAAGGATATAACCCCTGTCCTGATTTCTATTAGGTTTAATCGTGTCTGTTTGTATTTTATATAAATGGAATCATACAATAGATACCTGTTTGTATATTCATTTGCTCATATTTATATTTGTGAGATTTATCTATATTTTTGCATGTATTGTAGTTAGAAAGAATTTTTTTTAAAGAAACCAAACATTATGGATTCAGTTGAACCCCCAGCTGTGCCTCCTAGATGCCCTTCCTCTCCATACCTACTCCAAGTTCATCATTCTTATTTTAAAATACTATTATCATGATGGAAATTGGAAGTGCAATATCTTATTTGGATTAAATTACTGATTATTTAAAAAAAAATACTATCATCAGACATGAACAATATGTATTATGGGTTTACATGTTTTTGTTCTCTATGTAAATGGCATCATAGTATGTGTGTCATTACTGCAATTCTTGCTTTTTGCTTAACATTAAAAAACTTTATCTTCATACATTTAACCGTACTTCATTTATTATAGCTATGTTATAGTACTGCATTGTGTGAATATACCTCTGTTCCTTTGGTCTATTGCAGTTGCCTTTTGATAGTCATTCAGATAATTGCCACTTTTTTTTTTTTTTGATATTAGAAACAGTGCTGCCATGCATATCCGTGTCTGTTCTGGTCTCCTTTGCATGTATGTGAATGTTTCTCTACGAAGTATACCTAGAGATTGCTGGGTTGTAGAATATGTATACTTTCAACTTCATCAGATATTGTCAACTTTTTCTCCAAAGTGGTTGTACTAATCTCCATCCCACCGTTCCTCCACCCCTCACCAGCATTCGATAGTGTTAGGCTTTTTAAAATATGGCCAATCTGAAGAGTCTGAATTAAGGTCCTGCTTTTCTATTTAAATAGCTCTTTTACTTACAGAGATCACACTTTCGTTCAGGGAAGCTTGGGAAACCTGGTGTTCACCTAGCACTTTGTTCAGTAGTTCTTAAGCCTGGATGATCATGTGAATTACCAAAGAACGTTAGGAAACACAGATGATTTGGTTCCATCCCAAACCTGTCTTGGTACTGGTATAGTTCCCTGATATTTGTAAAGGTTCTTCACATTATTTGGCTTGGTCGGAGAATACTCTGCCTCAAATCATACAAATCTTTGGAATAAAACTCTTTCATCTTTTCTGGATTTTTTTTTAACAAATAAGAATCCTCCCCACCCTGATCTACCCAAGTGTTTCATGCCTTAGGGAGCAAAAAGTTATAGATTCTATTATAGTAAATTAGTAAAAGTAAAAATTGATGTGCAGACCATTGGGCATACAGCCCTCCCCCTTCGTGCTGGTACTTTCAGCTAGCGTTGGGCTCGTCACCTGCAGCTCTGCAAGGTCCCCGACTTCACAGGACCCGTTGTAGCATCTTGCTCTTTTCTTTCATCGTGTTTATCACACTGAAGTTCTTTATTTATTGTGGGTTTACTTGTCAAAGTCTGTCTTTTCTATTGGTTGGTGAGAACAAGGACCAGGACCATTCGTTCATCCTGCTGGCTCCTAGGTGCTGCATTCTTGCCTGGCACATGGTAGACTCTCAGTAGGTGCTGAAGTTAATGGTCTTCAACGGTGATCGTCAGTCATCTTTTTAGTGGTGGTGTTGTTAGGGCAGCTATCAGAAAGGACAATTAAAAGAAACAACTCACAACTTTTTCTGGCCCTCCCGGATTTTCACCGTAGTCCTTGATCATTTACCTTGTAGCCTCAGTGCTTGGGGTGGTTCCATGTTAGTAGTAGTAGTAATAGTAGTAACTAGCAGCAGTAGTAATGGTAGTAGCGGTGGGAACAACAAAAGCAGTAAATGACAGGTAACATTTAAATGGCGCTTATTGTGTGCCAGCAGCTGTTCTAAGTGAATTGCATCAACTAACTCATTTAATTCTTACCATAACCTAGTGGGGGTAGGTATCGTTATAACTGGCATTTGACAGAGGAGAAAATTGGGATATAGAGAGGCTAAGAAACCTGCCCAAGTTCACACAGCTAGGGGCTGAGATCAGCCCTCAGGCCAACTGGCTCCCAAGTTCATGCCCCTTACCCCCAGGACCTGCGGGTTTGGGTGAAGGGAGGGGCATCATAAAGCTCACAGAGCACCTGTAATAATGTTGGGGCAGTGAATTAATTGCATATTGCTGCATAACAGATTACCCCACAGTAATGACTTAAAACAACAATGTATGTATTTCTGATAGTTTCTGTGGGCCAGGAATCTGGGTGTGGCTACTGGGATTCTCTGGCTCAGGGTCTCTCACAGGCTGAGGTCAAGGGGTTGGCCAGGGCAGCTGTCATCCAAGGTTCTGTTGGGGCAGGATCAACTTCCAGACAGCATCAGCGTTGTTGGCAGGGTTCAGTTTCTTGGGGGTTGTCAGACTGAGGGCCTTAGTTCTTTACTGGCTCTTTGCCAGAGGCCACCCTCAGTTCATTGCCACATGGGCCTCTTCATCAGCTACCTCCCATGTCAGTTGGCTTCATCAGAGAGAGGAGGTGGGAGTGTGAGCAAGACAGAAGTCGTGGTCTATTGTAACCCGGTCTTGGAAGCAACATGCCTTCACTCTAGCCTTATTCTATTATCAGGAGCAAGTCATACATCCAATCCCACACCAGTGGGGTGGATGACACAAGGGCATGAATACCAGGAGGTGGGGACCATTGAGACCCATTTTGGAGATTGCCTACCCAGGCAGAAGATAAAGGCAGCTGCATGAGCTGCTCTTCTGATCCAGTGATGCAGCATCGACATGCTTTGAAACGGCACTTTTTAAGGGACTTTTTTGTCCCAGACGCGAGTAGGTACCAAGGGCATGAATACCAGGAGGTGGGGACCATTGAGACCCATTTTGGAGATTGCCTACCCAGACAGAAGATAAAGGCAGCTGCATGAGCTGCTCTTCTGATCCAGTGATGCAGCATCAACATGCTTTGAAACGGCACTTTTTAAGGGACTTTTTTGTCCCAGACGCGAGTAGGTACTTCAGACTGTGCAGGACATGCGTCCATGGCAACTTTCGAGCAGGGAGGGAGGCTTTTCTCCCACCCAGCTGCTGCTTTCCCCACTGGCCCACACCTGGCCTGACCCCTGGCTCGTAAGCCACATCTTGAGTACGCATCTGATATCAAGAACATCGTGGCTGGAAGCAACAGCATAAATCCTTGGGGGTGGGGGTGGGTTGTTTCCTGGGGCATTAGAATCATTATCTCCTATGGAATTACTTTAGTTTTGTTCCAGCCTTTATTTTCTCAAGTTCTGGGGCTGTGGGCTGTGCTGAGGTCATTTGAGTGTTGAATCATCGTTGAATAGTCCCCAAGAGCAGCCATGCTAGAGTAAGTGAGCGGTATACACCACCCTTTGTTTAGTTGTAAGCGACTCTCATCCCCAGGGATGTGTCATGTTTTATGAGCTGTGACCCCTGTGTCTTCCCATGGCAAGACAGGGACTCTATGCCTGGATGTATGGAGATACTGTTGGGTGGGCATAGTGTGCCCCTCCTTCCCAGGTTTAAAAAAAAAAAAATCAACATTTACAGTTAAGGCATTTAGAACAACTGAGTATGTAAACAAGTGGGGATCAAAGCTATTCATCTCCTTTTTCACCACCCAAGATAACCAATTATCTTTTCAGGAGATTTTCCTTTCAGTCTTTTTCAAAGCATGTACAAGTGTAAATATCCATACACATTTTTATAAAATTGGCATCAAACTTCATATAAAGCTTTCTGAGCTGCCCCCCACCCACTAAACTATATGTATATGATGAAAATGTTCTCATATCAGTAGAATATGATTTTTAAAGTATGCCTGGTGTTTTCATGAAAGAATGTACTGCTATTTCATGAACTTTTCTTATTTTGGATGCTTAAGCTGTTTCTCATTTTTGACTGCTAAAAATAACGCTGTGAGCATCCATCTTTGCAAAGCTGTCTTTAGTGAAATACATATTATCTTGCTAAGTTTTCTTATTTCCTGACCTGTTTCTTTGATTTGGGCGAGTGGAAAGAAATCTGCGTCCAGGGTTTTGAACTAGTTTTCTACTTTGCACAAATATCACTATACTCCTCTAATGCAACAATTCTCCTCCGGGGGGGCATTTGAAAATGTCTGGAAACATTTGTGATTGTCACAACCCCGAGTAGGTGGTCCTACTGGCATCTAGTGGGTGGAGACCAGGGATGCTGCTTAGCATGGATAGTTCCTATGACAAAGAATGATCTGGGAACAAAGTAAACTTGTGATGAACTTGGTAGGAGGAAATGACTCATGGGAGGAGATAGTTGATACAGTATTTATATTGGACAAAACTCTGAACTTGCTTGAGCCCCATCTATAATAAAGGAAGCTGGGCGGGGGGTGTGTGTTATTTCCTACAGCCACGTTGTTAAGCATCATTTGGGTGAAGGGGAAAGGAAGAGAAACCTCTGATGCTTTCATGTTCAGAACCCACAGCTTTCTTTGGCCTGAGTCACACGCAGGCTACAGCAGCAATTCATCAAAGATAACACATGGCATTGAATGTGTTTAAAACACGGGTGCCTCTTCTTGCCCGGGGGTGCTTTTAATGAGTCAGCGAGTGGTTCTAAAAGATTGTCAGTGATTAGAGGGCATTCAAAAGTTGTTTTAAATGCAGAAACTGTAGTACTAACCTGGCTTTATTTCATATTGAATGAAGACTTTGTAGACATTCATTCTGGGCTTCCTGGGGTAGCAGAATTTAGGCACAAGATGTTGATGGCCATGCTCGGTTTCCTTGCCCGTCTCTACTCTCTCCTTCTTAGTTGTGGAGCTGTCCTGCACGTTGTAGGATGTGTGGCAGCTTCTCTGGCCTCCGCCTACTAGATGCCAGTAGCTCGCCCCCCGAGTTGTGACATTCAGAAGCATCTCCAGGCATTGACTGCCAGGTGTCCCTGGGGACAAGATCATTCCTGTTGAGAGTCACTGGGCTAAGCCTTGTCTTCCACATGCAGTAGACCCAAGAAATTATGATCATCCCACCAGAAATAATATCATTGAGGGACACTTTGTGTGCATCTGCCCTGCGCCAACTGCTTTGTGTGGATTATCTAGTTTCAGCCACCACAGTTTAGGTAGTAAGGATTGTTGGTATCCTGTTTCAGATGAGGAAACTGGGGTTTAGAGAAGAGAAGCAACTGTGCACGTGCACACAGCTGGAGCTGGTGCCAGGTCTGAGCATTTGGTGCCTGTGGAGGTGCCACCTACCACCCAGAAAGTCTGGTCAGGGTGAACTGAAACTCTGGGTGATTTGATATCTAGGTAAGTCCTCAGACAGACATAGAGGTCTGGAATTTTCTAGATTAGTGGTTCCCAGCTGAGACAGTTGCCCCCCCAGGAGACATTTTTGATTGTCACCAGTGGGGCTGCTGCTGGCATCTAGTGGGTAGAGGCCAGGGGTGCTGCTAAACGTCCTACAAGGCACCAGACAGTCCCTACAACAAAGATTGATCCAGCCCAAATGTCAATAGTACCGAGGATGAGAAACCCTGATCCAGATCGTTATCTTCCCTGCTCTTTTGGTGATACTGGCAGTCCTACATGTAAATTTAAAATTATCTTAGAGCATAGGAGGCCATTCCTGTTGGAATAGCAATAACTTTGAAAACAATACAAAGGTCTTAATCCTTTTGATCTTGCTCTCATCATTTAATAATTTCCCAAATAAATGCTTTGAGTTTTCTTCTGATTTCTGTGGCCTTTGCCTCAAAGTGAGGCCCTCTCTTGCTTTTTATCTCCGGCCAAGTGAAAGAACGCTGGCGTCTGTGACGTACACTCCGTACACGCTCCATCGTGGGAAGCGGGCGTCGGAGCAGAAAGCATGTTCCTTTTGGTTACTCATTGTTCCTGGCCTCCCTCTCTAGGATGAATCAACTGGAGAAATTACGTTTTACATGAAGGGAGCGGATGTTGTCATGGCTGGCATCGTGCAGTACAACGACTGGCTGGAGGAAGAGGTAAGCGAGACGTGGGCCATGAAAACTGGGCCTTGAAAGCAGTTCTGAAGCGGCATTGCCTTGCATGGGATAGTGAGGTGGGCCTCTGTATTTGTTATCTGTGGCGGTGGAACAGACCACCCTGCTACTTAGCTGCTTGAAACAATACACGTTGATTCCTCATGGTTTCTGTGGGTCAGAGAGCCAGGCATGGCCTAGCTGGGTCCTGTGCTTCAGGGCCCCCCAATGCTGCAGTCAAGGTGTCAGCTGGGGCTGTGGTCTCATTTCAAGGCTTGACTGGGGCAGGATCCACTCTGAGCTGTCAGTGGTTGTGGGCAGCCTTCAGCTCCTCCTGTTCCATGCCATGTGGTCCTTGCCAGAGGGCAGCTCACACCTGGCTGCTGGCTTCATCAAAGTGAGCAAGACAGGGAGCAGGAGAGGCTGCTAAACGAGACGGAAGTCACCGTCTTCGGTAACCTCATCTCAGAGGTGATGTCCCCTTACTCTTGCTGCTGTCTGTTTGTTAGGAGTAAGTCACAAGGTCCAGCTCACACTCAAGGGGATGTTGTCACTCAAGGGCATGAGTTCCAGGAGGCGGGGACCCTTGGGAGCCACATCAGAGGCTGCCTACCCCAGTTTGTGACATGTACAGTTGGCCGGCAGCCAGAGGGGAGGAGCTCTCAGGTTTATCAGGCTATTTTGTCTCCTTTCTCAGCTCCAGGTGGGGAATTCACATTTTACATTCAGTAACATGATGTTTTCAATTTGGGGGTTGCAAATCCATGTACCTACAGAGGCCAGGCAGGTAACGTAAATGGATGAAACAGGCCTGGGAGTATTTTCCTGGCACTTTGCGTGTTAAATGTATTGGAAGGTTCTTCACTTGACAACTGTGTTTTCTGGGAACACACAGGAGCAGCCTCTTCTTAGCCATCACTGACTGTGGTTATTTGGGAAAGTGCACCTGGTTTTGTCAGATTTCAGTGTTTCTACCGAACCCGTGATCTAGATTTGGGGCGAATTACAATGTTGACTTAAATTTCAAAACATATACTGTGCCAGTCAAAGAAAACCTACGTGTGGGTTGTACTGGGTCTATGGGCTGCCCCTCTGCGGACTTCCCTGTAGAAGGTTTGCTTCAGGGAAGATCATTTTAGGGGAAAGCAATTGTCTGATTTTCCATTTTCCCTGTCCCCTTGGAAGGGGCACATCCATGTCAGCATCCTCAGTGAGAGTCACAGCTCCCCACTGACCTGGGTCTGTTTTTCAGTGTGGCAACATGGCCCGAGAAGGGCTACGGGTGCTCGTGGTGGCGAAGAAGTCTCTAGCAGAGGAGCAGTATCAAGACTTTGAAGTAAGTCATCTTGTGACCTTTCCCATGTGTTTGCAGCCCTGCTCACCTTCCCGGTCACATCTCCTGCCAGCACCCCCTGGCTTATTCTCCTCAAGCCCTGCTGCCGTCATTTCTGAGCACACTAGGTTCACTGTTGTGTGGGGCCTTTGCACCTGCTCTTCTCTCTGCCTGGAACTCTCTTCCCTCACAGAGCTCCATGGCCCACTCCCTCACTTCCTTTGGGTCTTGGTTCAAATGCCGCCTCCTCCGAGAAGTCTTCCTGGACCACCTGTCTAAGGCATCCCCACCCTTTTGCTTTCCATCCTTCACCCCGTTTAACTTGCTGCATGACACTTAACACCATCTTTAATGACCTTGTTTGTATTTTTAACATTCATCTTACCCATATCCTCTCTGGAATGCAATCTTTTTAAGGGCAAGGGCTTCATCAGTCTGGTTTGCTCTTATATCCCCAATGCACATAGTATACCTTCTGGAAAATTTGTCATAAACCACCCTCTCGGAGCCCAAATTTCTTTAAGTATAAAAAATGTTGGGGCCGAGCCCGTGGCGCACTCGGGAGAGTGTGGTGTGGGAGTGCAGCGGTGCTCCCGCCGCGGGTTCAGATCCTATATAGGGATGACCGGTGCAGTCACAGCGCTCACTGGCTGAGCGCGGTGCGGCTGGTCTCAAAAAGGACAAAAAAAAAAAAATGCTGGAGTTGAACTAGATTGTTGACTCATCTGTTGTCATCTTGTCCTATAGATTGTGCATTCCCTGAGGGAAGGGTCCTTGTCTTGTTCACTGCTGTGTGCCTGGCATGAAGCCAACGTGCATGATGCCATGCATGATGGGGCTGGGGGACAGGCTCTTGGGTCCTTGCCCAGCTCCTTGCCCAGCTCCTCCCGGAGAAATTATGTGTGGATCTGTCTTGTCTGTGTGGTTGGGTTCCTGCTTTTTTTTTTTTTAAATTAAGAGTTCTACCCCTGATAAATAACACCTGCCTTTCAATTTTTAAAAGTATTTGCTTTGAATGGGCCCATGAGGGGACTTTTGGTTTTCTTTCATGTTTTTGCTAACATGGTAAAGATGGAATACGCAGAATTGGGTTAGTGGTCTTCAGACATGGGACTTTAGAAAACCTGGCAGTCCAGAGTTTTGGTTATGCAGTGCGTGTTATGTGTGGCAGCACCTACTGTTTTTTGAGGTCTTGGGTTGTGCTAGTCCTCGAGACAGCCCAGTGTGATTGGTGCTGTTATTATTTCGTGGACGAAAGCAGGTGGGGCTGGGAGAAGTTAAGGGACCTGCTGGAAGTCTCACAGTGGGGGAGGGTAGAGCTGAGGGTGGGACTCAAGTCTGTCCAGCTCCAGCGTCTGTACTGGTGACTCAGGAGGAGGCCAAAAGCCTGTTTCCCCCAGCTAGGGTCCAGCCCACCTGTTGGAGTCCCCCCACCCTGTGTTCCACTGTCAGCAGGGGGTGGGCACCCCTGCCTCCCCCTTCCCTGCCCTCAGCGGTGACTGCATCTGCTGCTGTGTCCCAGGCCCGCTATGTCCAGGCCAAGCTGAGTGTGCACGACCGCTCCCTCAAAGTGGCCACTGTGATCGAGAGCCTGGAGATGGAGATGGAGCTGCTGTGCCTGACGGGCGTGGAGGACCAGCTGCAGGCTGACGTGCGGCCCACCCTGGAGACCCTGCGCAATGCTGGCATCAAGGTAGAGTGGGCCTGCCTGGGGCCTGCGGGAAGGAGCTCCCATGCCAAAGGGGCCATCATTTCCACCCTCACGCCCTGGTTTTGGGAGACGTCTTGTGTGGCATTTGCTTTTGCCGTCTGCCTCCCCTAAGCACCCTGGGCTCCCTAAAGGCGAGGACCATGTGTGTCTCCTGGTGGCTCAGGTCCAAGCACAGTGTCTAGTGCACCGCTGCTCATTATTTTCTAGTTGAGTGACTGGTCAGTCAGCCATCTGTCATCTGACTGACCACCCAACAGAGTGACCACCAGCACCAGCAAACTGCTACACAGTTGTGCCCCCCACCGTATCCATGGGCTCCACCAACCAATTGTGAACCAATTGTGGACTGAAAATATATTTTTGAAGTCAATAGGGAAAAAAACAAAACAGTATAACAGCTATTTATGTAGCACTTACATTGTATTAGGTATCATAAGTACTCTAGAGATGATTTAAAGTATACGGCAGGATGTATATAGTTTGTGTGCAAATACTACACTATTTTATGTCAGGGACTCGAGCATCTGTGGATTTTGGTATCTGTGAGGGTCCTGGAACCAGTGTCCCACAGATACTGGGGGACAACTTCATGTACATTTTGTACTCTATTCTTTGGGGCCCCAAACCTCTATCTAGTAGTTTAGTGTAGAGAGGCCGGCAGAGGGCGTCTGAGGACCAGGCTCTGTCTCAGTGAGCCCAGGCAAAGTGTTAGCAGACTTACGGCCTGAAGCTCCTGAAAATGTGTGTGTTTGTCACCTGCCTCCACTCAAAGCAGCTCTCGCTGAGTCCTGGAGCCTGCATTTGGCAAAAGTGCCTGCCCTTTGACCAGGGCCACATAGGAGCACAGAGCAGTCTCGGCACTCAGGCCCTGGGAGGTCACATGCATGGGTCATGTTTCCTACTCAACCATTCTGTCATGTACCTTTGGCTCAGAGGCCTGGTTCATCACAAGGAAATTGCCAGCAGGATCCCGTCTGTGGACATCTGGTGACAGCAGACCCATTTCTGCTGCATGCATCATAGTGTTTAAAATTAGGCACTGGCAATTTCTGAGATTTTCTCTTAGGCTTTTGAAGATTCCACTTTCTGCTTCCAGCTTTGTCCTGGCATTTTTCTTCTTCTCAAAATTGTTCTATCCAAGGGCCGGCCCGGTGGCGCACTGCTACAGTGCGCCACTTGGGAAGCGCG